GCTTCAAAGGAGGCGGCTCAATTTCATGTGGCGCAGAGTGTTTTTGTTTTAATTTAGAACGTATTTAATACGGGTTTATGTGATGTTTAATTAATTAAGAGTATTAATCTAATTGGGTTACTTTTTAGAGTATGTGGCCTAATTTCCCCTTAATTATACTACTGTTAATTTTTTACTAGTAGTCGAATGCAGAGAATATGTTAAAATTATATTAGCGAATTCTCTGAAATACTTACATGATTTCCCAATATTTTCAGGGAGACAAAAGACTGTCTCTCTTGTTTTTCTTGAAGAATTTTTGTAGGAGGTCCATAGATATGTTTTCCTTTTGAGATTTGACTACATTAAATTACCATGTCAATTTGTGACTTATTTATGTTGCTAGTTGCATGCCTTATTCCCCTCAAGTAATGATTTGACCGTCCAAATTTGCATTGACCTCGGAGATACAAACAATTAAATCAACACAAATCTGATTGAATAATAATAGGTTCAATTAAATGTAAAATTATATGAATTATTTAATTAAACATATAATTTAATGTCACTAGTGCCGTCGTCTAAACGGCGTTAAACACCATTGGTGTTATTGTGTCAAATAACATTACTTTAGTTTGATTTGATCGGTTTCTATGAAATTGGGTAGTAAATCGTGGCTGATCAACTCAACCAGACTGTAATATCGAAAAGTTGAAACAAATCAATTCCTATTTCATGCAGGGCAACCCAAACCAATAATATTCGACGTGGCGATTGTTTTCAAAGCCACAAAACGACAGAGAAATAACATGGTCAAGCTGAAGAGCACGATCGTCTAGGATTCCTTGAAATCGCACCCCATTCCAGGTCGTCTAGAGCTTGTTTGTCTTGTTCTGCATCAGCAATCTCGTTTTGATGATTTGCAGGTGATCCGATCAGTTGGGAAGAAGATGAAGATGGAGACGCAATATGCGAAGCCAATACTGTATTATCTGGTCCGACCCAAAGATAACTAAGAGCAGTGACCACATCGCTTATCAAAGGACGAACATATGCATCTTCTTGAAGACACATAGAAGCAACAGCAACTGCTTGATTCAAGCTTTTCTTCGGGATGACCTCTGGAAGCAGTGGATCAGCCAGTTCTGAGAATCTACTTGGTTCCTTGAAAATGGGTTCTGCCTGGTACTCAGTTCAAAATTAGACTATTCAGATTAATATAGTGTTATAAAGAATCCTTCAAGTTTATAAACAGAATCAAGTTCAAGTAGTCCATTGTTGAAGCAGTCTAACTCAAAAGGGAAAGGAAATAAAAACAACTTACCCAGGTTACTAAATTTTGTTCGTCACGTTTCCTCGTGTTATCAATAACTCTTCTTCCAGTAATTAACTCCAAGAAAACGACACCAAAGCTATATACATCTGACTTCAATGTTAATTGGCCTGTTCTTTGGTATTCGGGGGCACAATAACCGTATGTTCCCATCACCCTGGTAGATACATATGACTTATCACCCACAGGTCCGAGCTTGGCTAAACCAAAATCGGAGAGTTTTGCATTAAAATCCTTGTCCAGCAAGATGTTGGAGGATTTTAAATCACGGTAAATGACAGGTGGGTTGGCTTTATCATGCAAATATTCAAGACCTTTGGCAGCATTTAGTGCTATTTTCATTCTTGTGAGCCAACTCAATGCAGTGCAGCCTGGTGGAAGATCTGAAAAATGAAGTTCACAAGTTTTTAGTCGAAAGTGCTTGCCATTTGGTAGGCAGTACAAGACGGGACTAAATAGCATCTTATCTTATGTTTTTTAGTACTATTGCGTACTCGTATCATAATCCGAGTGAAACAAATACGGCAAAATATGCAGTACCCAGTAGATGGTCTTCCAGAGATCCCAATTGCATATACTCGTATACCAAAAGCCTGTGTTCTCCATCAGCACAGTATCCTATCAGATTTACCAGATTTTGGTGGTGCAAAAGGCTCAGCATCAAAACCTCTACAAGAAATTCTCGGTTTCCTTGCAATCCATTGCGGTCAAGTTGCTTCACAGCTACAATCTGAATTTAAATCAAGAAAAAAGCCAAACAAGTGCCAAGTTTACTGCATTAAGTGAATTATTAAGCTTAAACAAAGTGCTTGACATGCTACAATTTGTCAAAAATATTGAACTACCTGGCCTGTTTTCTCAAGGTAACCCTTGTAAACTCGTCCAAACCCACCTTCACCCAACATACATTTTGGCCGGAAGTTCTTTGTTGCCTGCGCCAACTCCTTGTAGGTGAAAGTTAGGGCTGCATTTTTGCCTCCTTCTTGATTTGGAGCATTATTATTTTTAGCTTCTTCTGGAACCTTTTCTGTGGAAGAAAAAGAAGAGAATGATGCAAGCAAAAAAACACGTAGAACTAAAGCCCGTGTTCACTCAACTTTAAGCAAAATTTTACGTTGGTGTCAGTTCGTCTAACAAAAAAGCTGACTTAACAGGATAGTTGGCACTTAATCAAACTAACTTATGGACACTGACTGAGGAACCAAATTGTAACAACAGTCAAATTTACTGATCAATCTAAAACAAATGGAAATTCAGTAACAAATTAACAATCATGAAATTTAACTAAATTTTTATTAACGTGGCATTGCATGTAACCCCATTTTTTATGTCATAGTAAATCACAGGCTTAGCTCAATGAAGTCACCATTTTTTTTTTCACAAAAATGCAATCTATTTACCTGGCCGTGGCCGTGGTGGTGCTCGACGCTGCGGCCTGCGCTGTGGTGGCAGAGGCTGCGGCGACCCTTTTGTCCGGCCACCACACCTCTTGGACGCTTTCCTCTCATGGGATGCGAAACATGAAAAACAATTCATATTATGCCTTAAAAATCCTAGGTGATCCAGCATTACCTTGTTAAATTTCAAACGCAGATAATTTCTATTGGCTTGATTTAATTAAAAGGCCAAGAGAAACCATTATAATTTTGATTTCTTGATTTGTATTTTATCAATAATATCACCAACATCTGCCCTTTAAGGCTTGAAATAAAGAATCTAAACAATGGGTTTTTGAATAAAAGCCAAGAACCAAATAAGTGAATAACAAAACAATGTTGAATGGCCAATAAATAATGAATTAATTAAAAATAAAAAGAATCCAAGAATCTAAGAATATTTCCTCGGAATGAAATCATCTGAAGAATCCATGCTTTTAGATCTGATCAGAGAGAAAGCGAGGAAAATAGTTTTCTCTTTTCCTCCCAATTTCCCGCAGAAAATGGACAGAGAATGGGAGGGAGAAGTTGAAGGATGTTTAGAAATAAAGAAAGAAACAAAAATGTGGGAATCATGTAGGGCTGGACATGGTCCGATTCGATTCGTTTCTCAAGCCAAAAATTTTGGGTATCTAATAAATGGAATCGTCAGGTTCAAATATAATTATGGAACCGTTTGAGTTCGGTTCAATTCGATTCTGTCCCATAATTAATTTTTTTAACTTTTATAGAATCAATACATAAATACAACTAATGACACGTTCATTCGTAAATTTGATGGGCAGTTGGAGAGGGAAAGTCGTACTCGACAGCCGGTGGCTTCGATTTGGGCATGTAGATGTAGATTTTCAATTTTTCATATTATTTTGTGTTAGTAGACAAGTGCTTACCGGATAAAAGTATGAAATTGGAAATTGAAGAATAAAAACTTAAAAAGGGAAAATTAGATCTACCCTCCAAAATTAAAGAATTTGAATAATACCTTATTGACTTACTAAAGCAATAATCATGTAATTAATACGTTCTAACCCCACAAAACCCAAATCAAAATTCTCCGATTCTCAATTCTTAAAAACTCCCAAACCATTACAGCAAAGAGAAATTTTTACCATGCCACGTCTTCGCTCATCCTCACCCATTACAGATTTCGAATTCATTTATTTTTCTGAATTAAATGTATGTATAAAAGTTCCTAAGGAAAAATTTCGAAATCTGAGAATTTAGTATAAATTATTTTGGGTCAGCTGCTTTGCAATTGGAACAAGGAATGTGTTCAAAATTTTAGATTGTAATATTGGAAGTCTTCTTTATGAACAAGAGACCCCAAAATCCTAATGACAATAGAGATGGCTTCTGCATATTTGAAAGCTTTGTGAGGACAGTGAGGAATTGAGTATTGAAAATTTAATCGAAAGAGTTTGTTGAGAAACTACAAAGTTCCTGGGGATAAAATTTCGGAATCCGAGAATTTAGTAATAACAAAACAATGTTGAATGGCCAATAAATAATGAATTAATTAAAAATAAAAAGAATCCAAGAATCTAAGAATATTTCCTCGGAATGAAATCATCTGAAGAATCCATGCTTTTAGATCTGATCAGAGAGAAAGGTCCTCCCAATTTCCCGCAGAAAATGGACAGAGAATGGGAGGGAGAAGTTGAAGGATGTTTAGAAATAAAGAAAGAAACAAAAATGTGGGAACCATGTAGGGTTGGACATGATCCGATTCGATTCGTTTCTCAAGCCAAAAATTTTGGGTATCTAATAAATGGAATCGTCGGGTTCAAATATAATTATTGAACCGTTTGGGTTCGGTTCAATTCGATTCTGTACCATAAGTAATTTTTTTAACATTTATAGAATCAATACATAAATACGACTAATGACACGTTCATTCGTAAATTTGATGGGCAGTTGGAGAGGGAAAGTCGTACTCGACAGCCGGTGGCTTCGATTTGGGCATGTAGATGTAGATTTTCAATTTTTCAACTGATTTTGTGTTAGTAGACAAGTGCTTACCGGATAAAAGTATGAAATTGGAAATTGAAGAATAAAAACTTAAAAAGGGAAAATTAGATCTACCCTCCAAAATTAAAGAATTTGAATAATACCTTATTAAAGCAATAATCATGTAATTAATACGTTCTAACCCCCCAAAACCCAAATCAAAATTCTCCGATTCTCAATTCTTAAAAACTCCCAAACCATTACAGCAAAGAGAAATTTTTAACCATGCCACGTCTTCGCTCATCCTCACCCATTACAGATTTCGAATTCATTTATTTTTCTAATTTAAATGGATGTATAAAAGTTCCTAAGGAAAAATTTCGAAATCTGAGAATTTAGTATAAATTATTTTGGGTCAGCTGCTTTGCAATTGGAACAAGAAATGTGTTCAAAATTTTAGATTGTAATATTGGAAGTCTTCTTTATGAACAAGAGACCCCAAAATCCTAATGACAATAGAGATGGCTTCTTGACAATAGAGATGGCTTCTGCATATTTGAAAGCTTTGTGAGGACAGTGAGGAATTGAGTATTGAAAATTTAATCGAAAGAGTTTGTTGAGAAACTACAGAGTTCCTGGGGAGAAAATTTCGGAATCCGAGAATTTAGTAATGTGATTGTTTGAACCGACAATTATAAAAAAAAATGGGTATGAGGGAGATAACAATAGCTAGTTCAGTTATTCCAAGTTTGAAGGGCCGGTGGAAATTCAATAAACTGTTGAATTTGAAAAATGATCCTGCCTTCCGCTGGTGCTAGTTGTGCATTGGAAAGAAAGACTAGCACCCAAAATCAAGTAAAGGTTTGAGTCTGCTTTTGATTTTTTGTCATTTTTTTTAGTGTTTTTCTATTATTTTCTTGAAATTTCTATCATTTTTTTGAATGAAAAATATTAATTTTTAATAAAAGTGACACATTTACACCATATTTGAGCCACATTATTATCCAAAAAATGCATTTTAAATAGTGTTTTGATGAAAAATATGTTGTTAAAAAATAAGGAAATTTTGAATTTGCGTGTAATATTATTTTATTGAAAAATTTATGGTTGAAAATAAGATAGAGAAAAATATTTAGAAGAATTGTATCAAACAAGATGTTAATAAAAAAAGTGACACTTAACTTTAAAAAGTGTCACCGTGTCACTTTTTTTTAATAAGCAAAGTGAATTAATTTTTACACAGTATTTTTTATTTTCAAAATACATTTCATAAGATTTTTCAAAAGGCTCCTAATTTTAGGGGTACTTTTATGAGTTGCCCAAATTTAATTACAAACTTTATCTAGTATATTCAATTTTAAGTCTCTATTTGACAAAATCTATAAATTATTTATAAATAATCAAACTTTACTTTCAACCATACATGCTAATAAATCCACAAATATTATTCACTTATTCATAACTCATTCATATTCAGGAGCGGAGGGAGCCTAGGCCTACCCCAAGTCCATTTAGTTTTTGTAAGTAAAATTTTTTTTTAAGATTTTTTCTTTCTATGTATCAACTAATATAAATATTTTTATTCGTTCTCCTGGTTCCGTCTCTATATCTATCTACTTATAAATTAAATCGTTTATGGATCTTTCCAGCGGAAGCTTAATTAATAATGGAGGCTTTTTCATTGTTTGTCACTTTTTCTTTTTTTCTTTTTGAAATCGTGACACTTCTTTTAGTGTATGCCACTTTTTTGAGTGTTGTGTTACTTTTTTATATCTCACTTTAAAAAAAAAAATTCGTCATTTTTTTAGTGTGTCAAATTTTTATTTTTCACCACTTGTTTTGAATTTGTGTCATTTTTTTAGTGTCTTTTAATTTTTTTTTATTTTTGTCACTTTTTTGAGCGTTTATCATTTTATTTTATTTTTTTAATTTTTTTAATTTCTATTATTTTTTTGATTGTTTCTCACTTTTTTTTTTTAATTTTCTCTCAATTTTATTGGACGTGTCACTTTTTTGAATTTTTGTTATTTTTTTGGGTGTTTGTCACTTTTTTTTTTATTGTTTGTCATTTTTTTTTAATTTTTTGTCACTTGTTTTGAATTTGTATCACTTTTAAATTTTTTGCCACTTGTTTTGAATTTGTATACCTTCTTTGAGAGTACATCACTTTTTTAATTTCTATAACTTTTTTAGTGTTTATCACTTGTTTTGACTTTTTATCACTATTTTGATTGTATGCCACTTTTTTTTTTTTTAATTTCTGTCACTTTTTTAATATCTATCACTTTTTTCAATTTGTCACCTCTTTTGAATTTTGTCATTTTTTTTTGTGTTTGTCATTATTTTTTTCTGTCATTTTTTTTCAATTTGTCACTTTTTTTAAATTTATGTTGTTTTTTTGAATTATTGTCGTCACTTTTTTTTTTTTTTTTATAATTTTCATCATTTTTTAGTGTGTGTCACTTTATTGAAAAGTGACATGGTATTTTTTTTACTTCACGTATACTTTAATATGATTTTTCAAAAAACCTCTAATTTTAAGGGTAATTTTGTAAGTTACCCAACTTAAAAATGTCAGATCTTGGGCTAATAATGAAATTAATAATTGGGCCAAAAAATTAAAACAAGAAATTGAATTTAGAAGTTGGGTTGGTATAGACTTTGCTTGGGAGTTTGAGCATTAATCACTAAATTAGTGAATTTGTTTAGAAAAAAATTAAAATAATTTAATTAATTCAATAAAAATAATAATTTAGATTTGGTTCTTATTCGATTCCTCGATTCCTGATCTAGAATCGAACCAAATTCATCGGTTCTCAATTCAAATACTCATTCGGGTATTTAACTTATAAAGAACCGCTCGATTCTGTTCGATTCGATTCGTGAGTTTTGTCCAACCCTAAAATCATGTACGTTTGTACAAGCTTGGATTTGTTCCATGTCAACTACTACATGCTGGCAAAACATCGCATTTTATATTTATTTTTTCTTCGTTAATAGAAAATATATCTTGTGTTTAACGTTGTAATGAGTTCTTTATAGTCTCCATCTTTGGACGAGATAATCCTATGACTTATTAATATAAAATGTTACCACGTTTAAATTTTAGTGTGCAAAACATTTCAAAGTTTTTTTTTTTTTATATTTTTACCCCTATTTATATGTTTTATTTCGAAAAATGTTATTTTCATTAATTTTTATCTAATTTCTTAATTAAAAATCGTGAAATGACAAATATATATTTTTTTATTTAAATGAAATAAAAAGAAAAGAAAAAATAAATAAAGAATTAATTGCTACGATATATCCAGATTTTCAAAAAATATAAATGAGTGTCAAACAAATAATTAAAAATTAAAACTAAAAAAAAACAAAAATTGAATCTTCTGCCCTCACGGCCTTACTTCACCCCCCAAAACCAGAAAATTGAATCTTCTTCCCTATATTTGGGGCCGAGAACATCACTACTGTTTGTCCGCCTTCTATATTTTTAGCATGGGTTGATATGGAGAAGAAAACTATATTTGGGGCTTTAATTAGGGATAAGATGATCGTGGGTTGGAGTGGCGAAGAAAATCGCCACGATGGTGGTCGCGATAATGGTGACCGGCGAGCCGAGCGATGGGTTTGAGAAAGATGAGATGACGGGTGTGATTTGGGTGATGATTTCGACGACTGGGCGTTTGTGATTTGGTGGGCAGCGACAAAGCTGGGTATTGGTGCAAGGATTGGCTACAAATTTGGTGGATTCGGTAACCCCATTACATTCCAAATTAAGTGAAATTACATCAGTAACCCCATTAGGAATATAAATGATCCCATTACATTAGGTAACCCAGGAAGCAAACTAACAGGTCCAAGCAGCCCGCCCGGATTTGGTTATATCCGACTGACCCGTTACAACCTTAAACCCTGCTAAACCCCTACCGGTAGGGGTCATTTCATTCCCGCCGACGCCAACAAATTAGCGATTTATACTTATACACTTCCAAAACGGAATAAAACCCACCCTGATAAAGTCAAAATAATCAAAGGAATAATGCCCGTATTAGAAATGTCTTTCAGATTCCGACGCTTGCTACAAATTTCTCGGATTTTGCCCAAGTTTTACCGAGGTGAAGCGGAAAACAATTCTATTTTGTGGGTTTTCTAGTTAATAATTACTTGAATGGTGCTTCGGTCAAGGGTTTTTGGAGATTTTTTGTGGTAGTTTTATGAGAAAATAAAGTAAATGAGAGAAATTGATAAGGCTTTTGTTGTTTTTTCCTCATAGGTAATCCGTGTGGACTATCAGGAGGAAGCATAGATTTTTTTGCTAGTTACTCCACTTCATCGTGTAATGTGAAGACGAGCATCGGCACAAGGCCTGAATTGGGAGGCTGTTTCGGTGAAAGGTAGAAACTTTCAACTACTTTTGGGAATTCGGTATATGTTATTTCGCTTATTTTAAGTTTTTCTTTCTGTACTTCCCCCCGTGTTATGAGTATTTTGTCGTGTTGCTACAAATGTGATGGATAGGGCCTTTCAATTTTGACTCTTTTTTATGGGAGGGTTTATCGAATACTTTCACAAGTTCTCTCCCACCGGTTTAATTTTTTAAAGCAGAAAAAGGTTGTTAAAATGCTTGTATAAAACGAGAGCTCAGAATTCAGCAGGAAAAATCATGTTCAAACTTGAGTGGATTTCCCTCAAATCACAATTCCTATCTCTAAAATACATGCAAAGACGTGAGTCTAGTTGAAACTTTAGAAATCAGATGACCTATGGTGACTTTTATGCCTTCCCCTTCTTTTGCCTATATCTTCATATTCCTCTCTTCTTTTCTCTGTCATTGGCCATCACTTTACAAAGAATAATGATATCTCTATTTGTTCATATATTTTTGTATCTTTAAGTTTAAATGAGTCCAAGTGTTCTAGAGATTGTACATACTTTTTCTCCTCTTTACCTATAAATTTAATGACGTGGCTTAAACTTCAATTGTCCTTCACTTTAACATTTTAGTTTCCTAACTTGTTATGATAGCCTTCTTCAGGTATTCCACAGTATCAGAAACAAAGAAGAAGCTACGTCCGGAAGTTGATCTCTTGTCCTTCGTTCGATCTTCGCTAAATAAGCCTCAAGGTGACCCTACATACATTTGGTTCTGTTTCACTACTATGATTGAAGCAGAAAATGCATATTACTTGAACAAAAACTAGTTCATCTTTCTTCTTCTTGTCATAAGCAGTTGCATTTCGTTCTCCCTGCATTCGATGTAAATCTGTCAAAAATTTGGATGAAATTGCAGGTGCTTCACACTGTTGGTTGAATAAAACTGACGGCACCAATAATGAGTATAAAGAAGATGGGATTTTCCTAATTCTTGCTGGTGAATACAATGAAGACTCTTTAACGTCGCAGGAAGATATTGTGATCACATTTGAGAAAGTGAAATCACTTCAACAGAGGTAATTGAACATCGATGTCTCAAAAAGTTCTTTAGATCTTAACATATAGGAGAACAGATAAATCATTTCACACTTCTCACATCTGATGCTGCAGGCATCCTTTCCTTCAAGTTCTGGCTTTTCAGCACAGCAGATCAATTTGCATTAACGATATATCTACACATTTGCTCCAGATGATCATCAAGGAGTATATTACTTTTCCTATTTTGTTATCTAACAAACATATCTTTAAGGTACGTTATATATTGTACTCAAACGTAAGTTTCTACTTCATGTACGCCTTTTGCTTACGAGCTATTAATAACATAGTCACCATATCACGTAGTTTTTTTATGATAAGTGTTATATTAATCAATAATCGATATGAATGCCCGCTTACTGCTAGCTATTTATTCCACAAACTTCTTTCATGTGATGAACAAACACGATGACACATAAATATGTCAGCTTACCGTGTCAGCAACTTTTCGAGGTGGGATATATAATGAGTTGCTGCATCTATTTCTTGCGTCTGAATTTATGATTTTTATGTATCAAGGATTGCAATTGCCATTCAATTTATGTCAGTTTTTGATTTCTTTGCTTGGTTTCTCTGTTTGCTGCTATAGGGGCCAGACTTCTAATTCTACTATGGGAAGACTATAGCTTAAGCAATTTTATCTAGTGTTAATGATGTGTTTTGAACCGCTGATCCTAATCAATTTCCTTATCTAGTCCCTATCAGCACAATACCAACTGAATTATCAAAAAAGGGAAAAAGTTCAGTAATTCTTCAAAGGCTCCAATAAGGTGCCCTTAATGGCTTGGTGAATTATTTCTAGCATCAAGCTCTTTCAGAATGTGTTGGAGCTTGGTCTACAGGCTGACATGGGTTGTAAATAATGTTGCATCTAATCATGAATCTCAGTGCTCTATGTCATGTTATGCATCAGATAATGTAACAAGTCTTAAGGTTTTACTCAGTAAACTTTGTTTTCTTGGGAGCTTGATTCCAGTCAGCTGTGTTTATCTTTTATGATTTCAATCTTTTGCATTGTGCAACAATTTGCAGACCACTTACTGACAACAGTGCGATACCCATTGCTCAAGGAAATACATTAGAACAATGTCAATGAGAAAACTTAGTGTGGTTGGAACTATTGATTTATGTAATTATAAGTAACCCTATTATGTTTATAACAAAAACTAGAAAATCTAATTTATACTGCCTTTTCATTGGGTTGGTTTGGGCTTGGACGTCACCTATGTTGCTTGGAATTGGGTTTGGGTGTTGGTACATATTTAGGAGACAAATCTTTTTGCCTCTAAAACTTAGGATATGGGATATAGCTAGAAAGGATCCAAAATTTTGACACGTGCGTTGGTGCATCTTACATATATAAATTTTCAAAATATTACATACTAATAGTTTTAGATGCGTTTTTTAGGAAGCGTAGCATTAAATGGACTTATTTCATGCTTTAAAAATCTTGGTTTTATGCGTCAAATCAATTTTATTGCTTTAAAAATTGTGTGCTCACTCTTTCTCTCCTTGGAACTTCTGCTTCCTTCTATAGCGATCTCCCTTCTATGATTCTTCCGTGTCAACTTCTAAATTATAGGGTCTGACACAGGATCATACCCATATCCATGTCATGCTGTGTTGCGTCGACGCGGGTACGTCATCCAAATTGAAGAGTCTGAGCATCATAGGACGTCGCTTCTTCATTTCTCTACTCCTTTGAGGCGCAGATAAAGACATATAAGTGGAGCGGATTTACAATAAACAATCATTAAAACCAATCGAAAAACTTAAAAAAAAAAGGAAAAGAAAGGGAGGCTTAATCGTGAGAGAGCTTAATGCATAGAATGGGTCGGATGGAGCTACCAAACACCTTATGGGGCTGACAGAGCCAACAGATTGGACAATCTGCAACAAGCAATGCCACGGCCTACAGTCTCTTCCAACATCCAACACTTGTATTTGAACACTCTGGGGGTCAAAGGATAACTACACTTGGACTGAAATATTAATAGGTTGAGAAAATGTTCCTTTTTTTCTTTTAAAATATAATTATTCAATTATTCCTTGCATTTTCAGTGGGAAGTTGCTAGTCCTTGCCTTCTTCAAGCCATTGTTCTTGAAAATAACATTCAGCGAAATAAGCAAGAATAGTGTTATAAGATTTCCTATCACTCTTACTGTTTCTATATGTTTGTAGATGGATATATATTGGTATAGAACGTAAATAAACAGAACATGACTTGTGTCTTGATGTCAATGCTTTTAGCTAAAAATACTTAACTTTGTTATTGATTTATTGACACTTTTAAGTTTCCACCATTTATCATGTAGATAGTCTTAATGTGTCTGACCTTGAGCAACATTACAGGTATCCTGTTTCAGTGTCAAGTCATTAAACGTTTTGAAATTTGCTCAACTTTTATGATTCATTCTGCAGATTGTAATCTGTTACTTTTGAATTCTTGTGATGTTCCACGTTCTTATTGTTTCAGCTATTTTTCGTAGTTTATATCCTTTTTTCCCCCTTTTATGCAGATGGCAAATGGACCTTGCTACATCATATTTAAAGGTTTTAAGAATCCATTAGTCTATTCTGAGAAAGATACCGATCTTATGGTGCTTGACAAAGGTGCTTCAATTTAGTTTCTGCATTCTTTTTTAGTGTTCTGTACATAAAAGAAACATAAAGAAAATGATTAATTTTATGCTGCCCAACTGCTTCGTCAGATCTCGTGTCAGTAGAAGCCAAGCAAACACTAGGGACACAGAACATGTGGATTTCACTTTTCCATTATACGCGAAAATACTTTCTTTTTCTTTCTTTTTGGTGGGAATATGTAATTCATTAATGTCAAGCATTAAAATTTTGTGAATTATTTGCTTCAACATGGCACATCACATATTTCCTCAATGGAAATATTTGGTAACTGAATCATAGTTAACCAAGGATAAGATTATTCTACTGACTGTTAGAACGCCTGAATTTTCTGTTCCGCCTTCAAGTTTGCTCAGAGGACCTGTCTTTTCAAAATAACACAGTACTTTGCTAGAAAATAATAAAATATAAAAGGGTTATGGGGAATTGATTTTTGGTTCATTTCTTCCTTGTGTTTTCCGTCAAGTTCTATTTACAGTATAGCTTCATCGAGTCAATCTTATATGCTTCGTATTGCACTCATCGGATGCATCTTGAAGATTTATTTATTTGTGTTGATTTGGCAGCCGTCAGTGACCTGAACATGGAAGATAATGAGAAACCAACTGTATCTGATATGAAAAGCTCTTGGATAAAGCCGATTGAAGTTTTTAAGGAACCATATCCGTGTTCTGCTTTGCGGAATTTGCTTCTTTCCTTCCCAGGTATATTTGCTGAACTTACTTCTTATTTATTGTAACCTTTTTTCATTTCGCTTGATGTCGGGATTGCATTATACATGTTGATGGCCCTTTTTACCTTAATATATTGAAATCCTCTAAAAAAAAAAAGAAAGAAAAGAACGGCAATATGCTCAAGAGAGGAAAGAAATAACACATGGATTTGAGCCCATAGTTATATGGCAAATTAAAGGCTCTTTGTTAGTGTGAAATCAAGCTCTTTGGACTTTGTAATAGTGAGACTTTCACTCAGCTGGTGGATCACTATAATGTAGGTCTAATTAGGGAAGACAATTTAATCGTCAGCTTGTAAGTAAATTAAATATAAAAACAGATGAACAAAGGAAATGGGGAAATCTCTACATGCTATAATTAAGTTTAGAATATTTCTTTTGATTTTGAAAGGGATTAATGACATTTTGTTTAGTTGACTTATTTGAGAAAGTGGAAGATGGTTGAAGCTGTTTGTAAGTTTAGGGGACGATTGGTTAATATGTTAAAATCAAGTCCCTGATGAAGGTAAACTCATATGGCATGTAACAGGGTGGAGGATGCACTTTAGTGGCTAATTGGAGTTTCTTATTGGTTTTGTGAATTGTTCACAGTACATTATTGGTTATGGCCGACAGGCCGAGGTTGCAGCAAGCTATCTGCACTAAAGCATATGCAGGGAAACAAGTGACCCCGCTGCTGGGTCGCTGTATGTAGGGAACCAAAAATCTGCGCTAAAGTCATGAACCTGGGGTTATATTTGACCGCTTTGCTGAGCAGCTGGAAGGTCCTGTCAAAAGCGGCTTTAGGACATTAGATGTAGGAACTTGAAAGTTCAGTCAGGAAATATATCTCTAATGGGTGTTAAAGCATTCTGATTATATTTTGTTATAGATGCTTTGTTACCTTAAATGAATCGCATGCTCTCACCATTTTGTTCTTGCAGTTGAAATAATTACTTTATGGTAGCATTTTGTTTTATGGTTACCACTTGTCTGATGTAGATAAAACGATAAGGCGATCAACTTTACGTTTTGTTTTTTTTTTTTCCTGTTTTTTGTTGCAGATTGCATCTCTGTTGAGGAGAATGGTGACCTGTTGTTCCTTTCTGATGTCAATCACCACCGGATTATCATATTTAATAGCAATGGAAAAATTTTGGATGTTGTAGGTGCTAGACTTGCAGAAAACACTTGCTAAATTGAAATTCTAACTTCTATTAAGAATCAAATTGTTAATAAAGAAAGAATGACATATCATTTCCTGTCAGATTGGTTCTTCTCCAGGTTTTGAGGATGGAGAGTTTGAAAGTGCCAAGTTAAAGCGCCCTGCAGCTTCTTTTTATGATGCTTCAGAAGATTGTCTATATTTTGTGGACTCTGAGGTGTGTCCATTGAACCATGTTTGACTGGGTGGTGTTTGTGTCTAGATATATCTTCAAGATGATGTGCATCTGTGTATGCAGCTTCATGGCAAATTTTATATCTTTCTTTTATTGCTTTATCTCCTACTGAGGCATTGAGTGGGAAGGCTATGTTCTTGCTGGAAAACACTGAATATTTTCTGATATAATTACGAACTGACATGATGGGATTTTCATAGAAAGTCAAATCAGATGTCTACGTATACTAAGATCAAAAAGTTTTGAGCAATTGCAAGAAAATGTTACTTATTTGCCTAGGTAGCTTATTTCTGTTTTCCTGAATGTAGATATTGATAAGGTTTCTTTTATCTGTGTGAAGAAAGAGATGTGCATGGAAGGACTTAAAAAAAGGGTTGAGATTCCTGTTCTCTTTTTGGTGGTTGATAGAAAATGAATAGAGAGAACGAGCACAAGAAGGAAAATGCAGACTTAAAAAAGATGTAGTTGTCACTTGGGAATTCATACCTAAGACACGTAGCCTGTATCTATGTTATAAATATAATGAACTTCATTTGTCATGATGCCACCGCGCTAAAGATTCACTCGAGGTATTGGAGATAAACTTTCTCCTTTTCTGCACTTTAGAAGTGAATGTTAACTTTCACATATTCAATCAACAACCATAATATCTGTGAACAAATCTCTGCGGCTTGGGATTCGACTCTAGGAGTCATTATGAATTATTCAGAATCCTGCAATAGGGCATTCTGAAAATTCTCCTGCAAACTCTTAGAAGTACATATGTTAATTGTCTCCAAAGCTAAAATCTGATATCAGTGTTGGAGGTATAAAATTTAAATCGATAAATTCAAAACCCTAAGATATGATTTTCTTCCTTGCCGCATATCATATTCTAAAATAAGAAGTCTTGAAAATGGTGTGCACAGCATCTACATTGAAGTAAATATAAACTGTAGTCATGGTTCTGTTCTAGTACTGTCTTCAAAAATAATAAATATCACGACTTGGATTTTGACAGAGTCATGCTGATATATGATTTGGCCCATATTGATTTTTGAAATGTCCATTCAACTATGAATTGTGAATGCAATATCTCTGCAAAAAAAGTTCTGCTTTCATCAGTGGCATGACCTAAATGTCTCTGTGTTAACTCAATACAAAGGGGAAGTTGACTTATCATTTTTGGTTACCCTGAAAAAGCAAAATTTACTTCCATGAGTTGGAAATTCATTTTCATACCCTGCATTCAGCATCATTTCTGTATGCACTTAGCACAAATATGTAATGACAGGACTGAACTAATTGACTGTTGACAAGATTGATATTATGTTCTGATATTTAAACGTTCTGTCAAATTCTGAAGTTCACAGTTAGCAATACGCCTTAGTTTTTAGTGCTATCAGGAGAATCGTATAAACTTCCTCAAGTACCACATCTGCCCTGTCAGTTTGTAGAAATACGCTCAAAACAAGTTATAACTTGGTTTTTATCTCAAGGAAGTGGCATAATGCACCTATTATGCATGATATTGGTTGTATGTGAATAAGTATGCCATGTTTATGTATTTCAAGTGCTCACAGCAATGTTCATCCTTTTCTTATTTAAATGTTCTGAAGGTTCTCTCTGTAGACAATAAACTGGCAATTAGAAAAATCTTGGTAATGGAATTTAGTATGCTATGGTCTGTTCAGTCCATTTGAGCCAATAATGAGATTTTGCTTAACCAGGAATCGACAATATATCAGCCAGATTCAGCCCCGTTCCTTTCTACTATGTTTCCAGGATATGAGCTTTTGCATTTTTTGTTTCTTAAAATATATGTGGTGGTTTTAATTTCTACTGCAAGTATACCCTGCTACTGTCTCATTATTCAGAGAGAAAGTTTTGTTGCTTTTATTTTGACATTTTCTGTTTTGCAAGTTTTTATTATTTTGTTTTATTTTCTATAAAGCATCTAACTTTTTCTTTATAAATTGGTCTTTGTATTTGTTCATTAAAGAACCATGCCATCAGGAAAGCTGACATGGAAAGGAGAATTGTGGAGACAGTTTATCCACCATCCGACGCTAATAAGAAGAATAATGGCTTATGGAGGTGGATTCTGGATAAGATTTGGACGAAAAGCAATGTAGATTCAGAGTCTGAGTGCACTTCAGAGTCATTTTTATTTCCTTGGCATCTTATGAAGTCATCAGATAACAATCTCTTTATTCTCAATCGCAGGTACCATATGACATCCACTGCATCAAATGATAACTTCTGTATCTTTCTGTTCTTAACCTCATCCACTTAGGTCTAATTTAGCAACTTCAAAATTTATATGTCATATCTTTAATATCTTTCACAATATTTTTCTAAATATGTCATTCAGAAACATTTTGACCCAGATGGTAGTGTAGTGCAAGTGGCATGCTCTTAAATTGGTGTGTTTTTAATACCTATGGCATTTGCTTCGTTATAATCAAGAAGGGAAGTGAAAAAGGTGAGTTTGGAGTCACAGAGAGCGGGGTAACAGCAATTTCCAAACTAAATATAATGGAGTAACATCAGTGTTCCAATGGTAATAACTGTTTGAGGTTGAGTGTGGCTTAAAGAATGGCTATGTTTCCACCTGGTTTAAACTTTGTGATCATTGGATAATTAATCAACTTTAAATGAACGGGAAAGTGATCGTGGTCCTGAAGGGGTTCCTTTAGTTCTTGTGGGATATAATATTTGTTTACTGCTAACATGAGCAGAAGTGGAAGGTACAAAATCACTTTTTTTTTTCTGAAAAAAAGTGAAGATCCCAATAATTAATTAACTAATCCGTTTAAAATATTTTCATGTATAATAACTAGGAAGTATTTTTTTTTATGCTCTTTTTTTTTGGGGGGGCAGTATAAAGGGAAGGCCATAGATAGGGGCCGTTTAATAAAAAGATTGGAAAGTAGTTTTGGAGCTTTTCTTATGAATTCAGCACTTTTTATCTTTTGTTTCTAACTCTCTTCTATTTATTTATTATTTTTATTTTCTGGGTTGGGTGGGGGTTTTGGCATGAGGATGTGGATGATAAATTTAGCATAAGTTTATCAAACTGATTCTTTGGATCATTTCTAAAATTTATGTTCAGAAAAAAAAAAAAAAAAAAATTAAATAAGAATCATCAAAGGGTCTATGTTCAATTATAATCTAACTTAAGTTCTGGACATGATTGGATTTTCATATACTGGGCACCTGGCGCATCTAGTGGAGTTTATAACATCATTTGCAGTTTCACACGCCGAGTTTAATTTGTCAATTTAACCTCTATTGAAGTCATCCGCCACTACCAAATAAAAAAAAGGGAGAATAAAAGGATTCAATTTGATATTATGCATTCTAGTGCTCTGCATGTTGAGTATCGTGATCCTAGTTGTCTTGAGTTGTATAATTGGTTTGATAATCACTTCTATGTGCAGCTTTGGAACTCTATGGGTCATAGATATAGCATCAGGGCTTATGAGAGACGTTGTAAAAGGTTTGAAAGTAATACAGATTATTTTCAGTTCACATGTTAGCTGTTCCCTTGTCTGTCACTGACTTGTAATAATTATTTAAAAGAATCTTCGAAGATTTTAGAGATCTGTGGGGAGATGATTTTAGAGAAATCCATTCCATTGAAGCAGATCCCTACGAATTGGTTGCAGCAGCAACTGGATGCTAATTGTCCATTCGAGGAAATTCCATATGCTGGTCTCATGTCTTCGGTGGCAACTTATCAGGATCATATAGTAGTTTGCAATCCAGGTAGTCAATCTTGAGCTATTTCTTCTGACACGTTATTTTTGTACTCTCTGTTTCAATTTTCAAATACTCTGATGTCAAATTCTGTTTGAATCAATGTTGATATGTGGGTCTTTGAAGTTGGTCAGATGGTCAACAAGTTCAGTAGGAAATCTGGATTGATTTCAAGCTTCCAATTCTCGAATTTTGGAGTCCTTGGGCTTCCGTATTGGCTTTCTTTCCCTCTGGAACGAGTCTCTGCCATGTAAGTGCAAGATAGATTTGAGTAAATTTTTTTAATATTGCACTTTGACCTTTTTAACTGGTATGTTAACCGCTCTCTGGTAGTATTAACAGTGATGGTATGCTATCAGGAATACACACAGATCACATCGAATGTTTTCGCTTGCTTCCAGGTATCTTGTTTCTGTTAACGTATTAATGTGATGAGGTAAAAACATAGCATTCTCAGCAACAATTTTGTTGTTACTTGTGAATTTGGACTTGTAGGTCACTCATTATGGATAGATGTAATCTGTGGATCTTTTTACCATGTTGCTTTCATTCAGAAGTTCAATTTTTAGCAATACTTTTGTTTTCGATAGTTGTTTTTCCATCTTATTTTAGCTATTAATGTCGTATTCAATGAATTGAATTGTTAATAGAAATGGTAGAACCAAGAGTGATTTTAAAACAATGTTCAACATGCTAGTGTAACAGGTTGAAGTGGTAAAAACACAGTTACAACGAGGCTTGGATGGAAGACATTGTCTGTTAGAGCCTGCCACTACATTAAAGTGTTTTCAAGTTGCTAAATGTTTGATTCACTATTTGAGCTCTAATCAGACTCTTTATTATATTGACTAACTTGAGTTCTTCTTCTTTAAGCTCTTTGAACACGTATAATTTGCCTAAGTTTTACTATTGTTTTGATATTGAAAAACTTATTTGACATTTATTAAGACGGTAGGGATAACAAGCGCAAGCTTTGTTTATTTTTTGAAAGAAAATCTACAAATGGCACTATATTTAATGACTTGAGCTTTTGAAAGCAACAACAACAAAGCTTGACATGTAGTCAAGCTCTAGCTGCTAAATATTTTCAAGCCAACACCATGTAGGCTTGATCTCTGATAGATATACTCGTGAAGCTCTTCCATCATGGAGTGAATCTAATCTAAGTGCCATTCACTTGTACCTTACGAGCTTCATGAAAATCATCTTTTGGTACTAGTGTTGCATTTTTCTCTAGATGATTGATCTGGAGAATTCCTATTTGCTACCTGCATCATGTCCTTGTCATGTCTAACTTTGACGTAAGTTTCACTGTTAAGTCGTTGCTTTGCCTTGTATGCGGCAGGTACCATTGACATAGAATTGAATATAGATATTCCTCAACACACCAATCTAGTAGAACCACTAAAAGAAGGCTGTATATGGCGCCAAGCAAGAGGGGCAGCCACTGAAATCTCGGTTGCTGTGGACAAGGCTGCATCAACAGAAAAGGCATCTAATTTCCTAAATTTTAGTACTTTTTTATTTTCTACTATTCTCATTTACACTTTTAAATCCACTTTGTTCATATGTTCTGGTCATACGGTTGCTTTGAAATTCATATTGCACGTGCATGCAGGTTGGTGCTGCTCAACAGTGGTATGATGAAATTGATAGCCTTAGCTTTTCGGTGCAAGAAATAGAAACAAGCTCAGAAAATGGAAGCACACATCCTGTTGAAGGGCAAGAAGGGAAAGTGCGCATTGGTTGCACTATCAATACGAGTCCTGGAACAAGCGAGGTATATATATTAATTCTGAAGTTTAACATATTTTCGTCTTCGTTTGATATTTTCTCAAGGTAGGATATTTCTTGAGAGTTTCAGACCAGATAATTATTTTGGAAATTGAGAAAAATGTAACTTCACTCCTGAAATGTCTGAATAACACCCGAAATGATGGAATTTGACTACTATTGGAACATCAAAATCCCTATATTTCTGAAAAAAAAAAAGGTTTCTTATATGGAATATATTGAAATACAACACATCAGGTTTTTCGACATATTTGCACTGGATTTCAGTTTAAACATAACCGTTCATTTCTATTTGTTTCATCCAGGTAATCATTTACGCCGCACTTTATTTAAGGCTAAAAAGGAATCCATCTTCAGATGTCGATAATCAAGTGAAAAAAGCAACAAGGATAGCTGACGTCTTGGATCCCACAAGAAAGGTCAGTAGGGATCTACTTGTTAAGCTCTTATTGGCATCAGATTCAAATCTGGAAGAACTCATTTTCATCCGACCTTTGCAAGTGATACTAAAGTTTGATTGTCGTGATCATCCAAAAGCCGATAATCATTTAAAAGATATAATTTTAACCGATTCCTCAGTGAAAGTCCATGTTGCTCTCTAAGTGGAACTTCTCGTGTATTTCTTCTATCATTATGGTGAAATCATTTTAACATTTGCTTTCTGAAAGAATGTCCAATTTTGTTATCGTTCAGGGCTACTTAAATTGTTGTACAACTCTTTCACACAATTTTTTTCATTTGTATTGTATTTAAACTGAAATGACTTGAGTAAAATTTTGCCAACGTTACTTTTTTAACTTACGTAGCTTGCCAACATCATACTTCGTCATTCATGTTGTGTTGCACATAGGGTTCTGGTAGTCCGTTTGATATGGAGGGATTTGTGTCCTTGTCCCTTTCGAGGAATACATAGAAAATACAGGGAATAGTTACGACACACTGTATTGGCCTTTTTCATTTTACCCTTTCTCTTAAGCCAAGTACAAAACTATGCGTTCTCATATTTGTATTTTTCTTAATTAATTTAGACAAAAACAAATTGTTTTAGATTAAAGAAAACTATTTTTTCTATTTTTTACGAAGTTACTTAAAAATGAACTAAAAGGAAATTCAAACTTCAAACATTTGATGCATGATAATATTATCTTAATTTTCTGAATTCTGTATATTTGAAAGAAAATTAGACAGG